TAATTGTGTTATACCTTTCTATTTGTATTTCCTCTTTTGAGTTCTTATACTAGGGAGACTATATGATATTTACACATGTAGGTCTGGTTTATTTCACTTATGAGTATATCTTCAAACGGCATCCACTTACATATGAAGGCTTCAAGGTTATCATTCTTTATATAGCTGAGTAGTACTCCATTATATAAAAATAACACAACTTTTTCATCCATTCTTCAGGTGATGGGCATCTTGGTTGTTTCCCAGATTTGGCTATCACAAATTGTGCTGCTATAAACATAGGTACACATATATCACTATGATATGACGTTTTCAGTTCCTTGGGGAAAATTCTCAGTAGGGGGATAGCTGGTTTGAATGGGATTTCCAGTGCAAGTTTTTGAAGGATTCTCCATACTGATTTCCATAATGGATGCACTAGTCTACATTCACACCAGCTTTGGAGAAGGGTTCCTTTTTCCCCACAGCCTCTCCAACATTCGTTGTTTGTTGATTTCTTTATCATAGCCATTCTTTGTGAGGTGATATGATATCTCAGTGTTGTTTTAATTTGCATTTCATGAATGGCTAGTGATGGGGAGCATTTTTTCATATATTTCTTTGCTGCTTTAATTTTGTCCTCTGAGAAGTGTGTGTTCATCTCAAATGCCCACTTCTGGATTGGTTCTTTAAATTTTGGGGTCCTAATGATGTTTAGTTCTTTATAAATTCTAGAGAGCGGACCTTTGTCTGAGTGCTTATTAGTCAAGATTTTTCGAAGTTTGTGGGTTGTCCTTTCTCTTTGTTGGTAATTTCTTTTGACGTGCAAAAACTTCTCAACAAGAGGAGATCCCAGTTGTTAATTCTTTCAAGTATTACCTGTGTGATTTGATTTTTGTTCATGAACTCTTTGCCTACCCCTATGTCTTCAAGAGTTCCTCCTACTTTTTCTTCCAGGAGATTTAGTTTTAATGTTTATATCTTTAATCCATTTTGACTTTAGCTTAGTGCATGGTAATAGACCTGTGTTAAGTTTTAGTTTTTGGCGTGTAGAGAGCCAGTTTTTCCAGCACCATTTGTTGAAGAGGCTATCTTTCTTCCAGTGAGTATGTTTGGCCCCTTTGTCAAACATCAGGTGGCTGAGTGTGTTTGTTGAGGCCTCTGCATCTTCTAATCTAATCCACTGATCCTCAGGTCTGTTTTGTTGACAGTATCATGCTGATTTTATCACAGTAGCTTTGTAGTATAATTTCAAGTCAGGAATTTTAATGCCTCCTGCCTTTTCTTTGTTGACCAGGATTGCCTTTGCTATTCTAGGTCTTTTCTGGTTCCACATAAGTTTTAGGAAAAATTTCGCTAGGTCTGGGAGGTATGTTATGGGTAATTTGATAGGGATTGCATTAAATCTGTACAGCAGTTTTGGGAGTATAGCCATCTTCACAATGTTGGCTCTTCCTATCCAGAAGCAAGAAATATCTTTCCATTTTCTGAAATCCTCTCTACAATCTCTTTTTTCAGAGTACTATAATTTTCCTTGAAAATTTCTTTCACTTCTTTAGTTAGATTAATTCCAAGGTATTTCATTTTCCATGGTGCTATTGTAAAAGGTATTGTTTCTCTAATTTCCCTATCAGTGTGTTTGTTAACTGTGTACAGGAATCCTGTTTGCTTTTGAGTATTGACTTTGTATCTTGCTATGCTACTGAATTTATGTATCAATTCTAGTAGCTTCTTGGTGGAGTTTTTTGGGTCTTCCAAGGAAAGTATCTGAAAATAATGATAATTTAACTTCTTTACCTATTCTTATTCCTTTTATTTCTCTCTCTTATCTAATGGCTCTTGCTAATATTTCCATAACTATATTAAATAGGAGTGGTGAAAGAGGATGTCCTTGTCTTGTACCAGATCTGAGAGTAAAAGATTTCAGGTTTTTCTCCATTTAGAATTAAGTTTGCTGTTAGGTTGTCATAGATGGCTTTTATCAGATTGAAGTAGAGGCCATCTATTCCAATTTTCTGTAGGACTTTGAACAGGAATGAGTTTGGACTTTGTCAAAGGCCTTTTCTGCATCAGTTGACATAATCATGTGGTTTTTAGATTTCACTCTATTGATTTAGTGTATTACATTTATAGATTGGTGTATATATTGAACCATCCTTGCATCCCTGGGATGAATCCTACCTGGTCATGGTGTATAATTTTCTTGATGATTTGCTATATTCTATTTGCTAGGATTTTATTGAGTATTTTTGCTTCTGTGTTCATGAGGGAGATAGGCCTGGTTCTCTTTTTTTTGTTGTGTGTTTCCCTGGTTTCTGTATCAGTATAATACTTGCCTTGAGGAATGATTTTTGGGAGGACTGCTTCCTTTTCAATTTCATTGAAGAGTTTGAGGAGTATTGGGATTGTATCTTCTGTGAATTTCTTGTAGAACTCAGCTATGAGTCCATGAAGGCCTGGACTTTTCTTTGTCAGTAGGCTTTTTATTGCAGTTCGTATTTCACTGGGTGTTATTGGATTATTGAGAGATGTTATGTCTTCTTGATTCAGTTTTGGGAATTTATACCCTTCTAGGAATCTGTCCATTTCTTCTATGTCTTCTATTCTGTGAGAGTAAAGGTTCTTAAAGTGGCTATTGACAGTCTTCTGAATTTCCACTGTGCTATAGTAGTTACACTCTTTTCATTCCTTATTGCTTGTATTTGAACTTTTTCTTTTCTCTTTTTGATGAGGTTAGCTAGGGGCTTATCAATTTTATTTAATCTTTCACAGAACCAGCTTTTCGATTCGTTAGTTCTTTGAACTTTTTTCTTCGTCTCAATTGAATTAAATTCTTCTCTCATCTTTATGATTTTTTCCTGTCTTTGGGCTCTGAATTTGGTTTGCTCTCCTTTTCTAGATATTGGAGGTGCATCATTAGGGTATTTATTTGTTCTCGTTCTGTTTTCCTAATGTGTGAGTTCACAGCTATGAATTTCCCTCCGAGAACTGCTTTCATTGCATCCCGTAAATTCCGATAAGTTGTGGTTGAATTTTCATTGAATTGTAGATATTGTTGAATTTCTTGTTTGATTTCATCTGTGACCCATTGGTTGCTGAGTAGGGTGTTGTTTAATTTCCATGTATTTATGGAATTTTTCTGTTTTCTTGTCTTGTTTATTTCCAGTTTCATTGCACTATGGTAAGATAATATGCATGGGATAATTTCTGGGTTTTGCAATATATTTAAGCATGACTATGGAGCAATATGCAGTCTGTTTTAGAAAATGACCCATGTGCAGCTGAAAAAATGTATATTGAGCTGTCATTGGTTGGAATACTCTGTATATGTCCGCTAAGTCCATTTGTTCCAAGCTCTGGTTCAGTTCTGCTACTTCTTTGCTAATTTTTTGTCTAATTGACCTGTCTCTTTGGGATAAAGGGGTGTTAAGTTCTCCTGTTAAGATAGTGGTATTGGATATTAGACTTTTCATGTCCATTCAGATTTGTCTTATATAGTTAGGTGCGGCCAAGTTTGGTGCATATACATTTATGAGTGTTACCTCTTCCTCTTGAATTTTTCCCCTAAAAGTATGTAGTGGCCTTCTTTATTTCATTTGATCATTCTTGATTTGAAATTGAGACTGTCTGAGAATAGGATTGCTAACCCCACTTTTTTTCTGAGGTGCTGGCGCATGTACTATTGTTTTCCATCCTTTGACTTTCAGCTTATGAATTTATTTTTGAGTTAAGTATGTTTCTTGTATATATCATATTGTTGGATTTTGTTTCCCAATCCACTGTGCCAGTATATGTCTTTTAATTGTTGAATTGAGTCCGTTTACATTGATGGTTATAATTGAGATGTATTGATTTATGATCGACATGTTATTTACCTGCTGTTGTTTACTCCTTTTTCTCCTGTGTTTAATTGTTTGCCCTATTTAGAGGGTTCCTTCTGTTCTCATTTGTGGAGTTCTGATCATTTTGGTCCCTCTCTAGAATCTAATCTTTCAACAGTCTATGTAGAGTTGGCTTTGTCATCATGAAATTCTTTAGTTGTTCTTTGTCACGGAAGTATTTCACTTCTCCTTCAAACTTGAAAGAGAGTTTTGCAGGGTATAGTAGTCTGGGCTGGAATTTGTTTTCATAGAAAACCTGAAGTACTCTGCTCCATGCTCTTCTTGCCTGCA